AGGTTATTCACAGTATGACACACATATTAACGTTGACCGATGCAACTAAACAAGTTCAGAGAATTATCACTACTCATAATTTGAAATTTTAATTTATGAATTGGAATTGGAACTTTAATTTGAAGTTCAAGATTTGTGAGCTTTAGAGTTCTCTATAAATATTATCCATTAAAGACTCATGTTCGGGATCTAGGCAAATGTTACCTAAAGATTTTAATTTAGGATTTTAGTAAAAGAAGCCATCAGGGAACTTACAGCTGACCTAAAAGACAACCAAAGCAATCCAAGCATGTTGCAGTGAAACAAAAATTCTAAAGACTGACGAGATTCTGAAAAACCTAAAGATGTGTTGTTAAGCTTCATGTCATAAAGGATATGAGTCTAATAACAGTGCAGTTAAACTTTTTGTTCTATAGATTAAAAAGTTTGAATTACCTCAGGGTGGCTTTGTTACTTTTTGTGTATTTAACGGGAAAATTCTAAGAATGGTGTAGTTAAGTTTCATGTCTTATAGATTGAAATGTTTGAATTGCCTCAAGATAGTGTTGTTGTGCTTTATGTCTATAAGGCAAAAAAATTAAGGATGGTGTAGTTAAGCTTTGTGTCTTATAGATTGGAAAGCCTTGAATGCTTAAAGATGGTGTCTTTAAGGTGAAAAATCTATGGACGGTTTAGTTAAGCTTCATGCTCTTTAGATTGGAAAGTTTTGAAAGGCTAAAGACGGTGTTGTTATGCTTCATGTTTTTAAGATAAAAAGTCTAAGGAAGATGTAGTTATGTTGTGTGTTCTATAGATAGGATAATTTTGAAAGCCTAAATATGATGTTGTTATGCTTCATTTCCTTAAGGCGAAAAATCTAAGGAGAGTGTAGTTAAGCTTCATGTTTTATAGATTGTAAAGTTTGAATTTGTGTTCAAGTTTATAAGTTTAGGGTGCTTAATGACCACAGTAAGATAGGACCCATGATACTTCATGTATATCTTAGATTTACTAGGCAATGTATTGTCTTATTAAGCAATTTTGGCACAATAAAACTAATGAACCCTAAATATATCATATTCTTGAAGAAGAGGTTGGTTTAAGTTTTCCCACTCCTTAGGCAGTTGATGAGTTTTCCCACTCCTTAAGCAGTTGGTGAGTTTTCCCACTGGTTTAAGTTTTTCCACTTCTAGGATAGTTGATGAGTTTTCTCACTCTTAAATAATTTGATGAGTTTTTTGTCTCCTTAGGAGAATTGATGAGTTTTTCCACTCCTAAGATAGTTGATTAGTTTTTAGTTGTATCAGGTCGAGGAAACCTTAAGGGATATTACACATTTTCTAAGAAAAATGTAGGGAAACTTTGTGTCCTAAGGACTGAAATTTTTTTTGGCTTCTGGTTCATGGGAACACATTAGGATAGAAAGCATAGGGATTTACATCCAACTAAAGAGGTGAACAGGGTGACTAGATCAATATAGAAAACATGTGAATTCACATCTAACCTGAAAGTTAATTGAAGGGAAATTCAATTCAAGGAGAAGTTATGCCAGATCCAAAGAAGATTTGATTTTAGTATACTATAACACGTTAGGATAAAAAGCACAGAGAGGTGAACATGTTGATTTGATCAAGATAGAAAATACAGACTCAAATCTAACCTGAGAGCTAATAAAAAAGAAAAGCAACATGAGGGGAAGTTACACCGGGCCCAAAGAAGATTTCATTTATTTTACCATAGTATTTTAAAATGGAAAACACAGGGAATCACATCTAATCAAATTGGTGAATAGTTTCATTAAAGCATGGTGGAAAACATAAGAAATCACATATAGGTAGAGAGATAATCAAATGAAAAGACAATCTAATGGGAAGTTATGCCAGACCCAAAGAATATTTCTACTATTAAATGTCGTCTAACATTACACCACATAACATGCCAATCTAAGGGTTACAAGGGCCCAAAAAAAGCCACAGTGAGGTGAAATGTCTCTTTTTGACGTGCAACCCTAGTTCTTAATCCAAAACGGTGGATTATACATTACCACTGATGAAAAAGGTTACCAAGCGCCCACCAGACTAGTAAGTAGTTCCTAAATGAAATCTCTCCAGGGGGGTAGATGTGAGATTCCAATCTGAATATTGGTATTTGGATGAGTGAGAGGGCATTCTCTGCAAGGGATACTAAGATGCAACCTCACAGAGACTTTGACCATGGAAATGAGCCTGCTAGGAAGAGATGCACTGGTCGAGCACTCAAACTTTGATGAACACCAGAAGATTTGTAAAGAGGGGAATGTACACTGACTTGAAAGAGGTTCCAAATATATGTTTGACGTCTTTGAGGGGCCATGGATACTTTGATTAGATTGTGACGATAATCTGATTGTTGTGAGTATCATATCAAAGCCACCTCTTCCTCTTCTGTGTGATCATCCTTTTTCTCATTCTTACTGGTGATTGCTGAGATCTTACTACCTTTCCCTCTCCTGCACCAGGATTCTATTTACTGTGTTTTGATCTATTGACGATGATTTAGCCAAGTGCTTTTGATTTCGAATTTTGCTTGAAAATTTTAATATATCTTTTTTATCGAGTTTCAGTTTTTGATTTCATTTAATGTTACAGACCTAGTTTTATTTTAAGAGTTTCAAATTTGGTTAATTTCAATCTAGGAGAAAGAGAGTTGATGTTTGAGGTTTAGAAGTTTAATTGCGTTCAATTTTATTCAACTTTGATTTTAAATTTAAAAATTTTAGAGATTGAGTGATTATCAGTCTCTCGATGCTTCTTATTTTAGAGAATTTAAGAAGAAATTTCTTTTGAAGGGAACAAAGTTAAAGAAAGGATTTTAGACACGAGGAATTTGATAAAAGAGAGTCCTAAAGCTTACTAATTAAACAAGGCTTAAATGAAAACTTAAAAGACCCTGGATTTAAGGAAATTGGATGGACCCAACCCATAATTTGGTGGACGAAAGTCTAATAATATGGGTAATCTTAGCTGTGAGGGGTACAAACACATTATCAATGAAGAATAATATAATTCAATACTATAGATGGAGAGTTGAACCATCTTTAATGGAGTTGTTAGAAAAATTTTGGTGGAGAATTTTTCTTATGATATTGATATGTCCACTACAGATCTTGAAAGATTTCTATTTAAATGATTAAAAGTTTCATTCGAAAAATAATTTATTATCTTGAGAGATATAAATATTACCTTAAAATGTATATCATTTTGATGAAAAAATTGCGAGCTCTTGAGAAAACTCTTGATTAAATAAAATTGTTTATATCATGCAGGATTTCAGGGATGGTATTTTCAATTGAAAAGATTCAAGATTTAAAGAGATTTCTAAATACTAATCAAATTTTAAATAAAACAATAAAAAAATTGCTTTGATTATAAATGACTTATGATTATTTTTATCAGCAAACAGAAGTGTTCTCCACTTATAAATATTTGAACCTTAGTTTCAGGGGTTTTTTTAGCTAATATATTTTGAGTGTATGAGAAAAAAATTAACATAAGTGAAATATGTTTGAAATACTAGAGAGTTTTTTATTTTGGGGGTTGTTTGGAGCAGCTTATTGGCGCGGGCAGCGTTTTGAAAACACTGTCGTCTTATTTGGTAAGTGCGTTTGAGAAGATTATTGTGAAAAGTGATTTTTTATTCCTTAATAGATGGGGCCGCATGTCGACCCCTCGGCCCGCGTCTTGGATTTGCGTTCAACAAATTAATACCTCTTGTGCCCTTCTGCTGCCTGCGCCGTCTGAAGGGGATGGGAGGAAAGGAAATGTTGCTGAATGAAGGGGATTCGGGCCAGATACCAGTATCGAGGACGCTGATTACAACGAAGAAAGACGCGGCATCAATGGCGTGGAATGGGGATGAAGGGGAAGAGAAAGAGAGGCCGAGAAAGAGAGGGGTGCGTGTGGTGCGGAGGCGAAGGAAGGGATCGGGGTGGAGATGGAGAACAGCAAGGGAGCAGCGAAAAATGCGAAGGTGGTGAGGGAGGAGAGAGGTAGCGGCGAAGGCGTTGACTGTGTCAGAGCAGGAGCAGAGAAGGCGGCGTGAAGGGTTAATGGAGCGGGAAGCGAGGTGGGATGAGTACCAATAGTGGTCAGCTGGGTGGACTGACGGTTTGTAATCAGGATTCCTGTAGATTTGTTGCTCGAGATCCAATTTATCATAATGAGTGGCAGAGCGGTAATTTATCCTGGAAAAAAAATATTTACATCCATACCACCCAATTCTGATGCATTTACATATTTAAAATTAATATTTAAATTTTTGCATAAATATCACCTTACTTATGCTTGAGGAGATACATAAATGATTAAAATGATGAATTTTGTGATATTATATGAAAGATTTGAGTGTTATAAATGTAATATTTAATGTTTAGGTGTTAGACATAAAAGTTGGTGGCATATGTAAATGTAATAAAATTAATATTATCGTATTTTTAATTGTAATTTTAATTTTTTTTCTTTTTTTTTATCAATCTTGATCCCATTGTTAAGTGATGACTGTTCATCTTCTGTTTTTACTGTTATGTACTAATTTTTTACTTCTACCGTATCGAATAAATTGGCAAGACAGTTCTGTTACAAATAACATTACTTTGACAGGGACAAAATGATCATTTATCCACAAACAACTGCAAATCAGTTGTTTTGAAACAACTACCCCAAACAAACCTTTAATTTCGGAAGAAATATTTGCATACCGTACTCCATTAACCCTATAATACCCACATGTTAACCTATGAATAACATTGAAATAGAACCCACAAATATTATTGAAAAGTTAATGAACTTACGTGTTATTAAAATTAATACCTCAATAACATCAAAATAATCCTTTAATAATCGCGATTATGTATTGTTATGCAAATATTTATTAGGTGCCGATAACCCGTGCTGATAATGCGGGCAGTTTCTCAGTGGTCTCGTTTTATACTCAGTCAGGTTCAGCA